TCATTTTGTCTGCAAAAATAAAATAACGGTTGTAGATGGGAAAGAAATCCTGGATTTATTTACATGGCATGACATTAAATAAATCTGATTTTCCCTACATGTAGTAGAAATTGTGTATTGACTCCTCATCTCTCACACAGAGGATGGCCCAAGCAATCTTAGTTTTGCAGATGTGGACACGTATGATATTTCCAAATCTATTGCTTACTCAGATGGCCCAATAGCCCTGTAGTATCCTTTTGTCTCTCTCTAACAACAACAGGTATAGTATGGAGGCTCAGTTTTGATGTGTCTTTGCAATATAATATTGTGTGATTTTAAAAATAATTTAAAATATATTTTAAAAAAATTAGATATAGGGCAGCTCTGTTTTAATCATCTACCTGAACAATCTTGTTTCTTTGAGAAGTTTAATTTCTGTTAGGTGATTCTGATAGAGGGATCTTTTAGGAGTAAGAAAACCCAGATTTGGAAAATACACGAAAAGGTCTTGACTATTTTACTCGTCAAAGATTTAGGATAGTTTTCATACCAGATTTATACAAAATCTCATAATTCTCACCACTCTGGAGAGAGGCAAAGGCAACCTGAAAGAGAAGTACAGAAAAATATTCACTCAGACCTAAGTATTTAGTGAGTCAGATTTCAAGAAAGATCATTTGATAGTTTTAATATTTAAAAAAATACAGTGAAACACTGGCTTCATAGTTATTAAAGCAACTGATTGTGGGTGTTTTAAACCAATGAGTTTGCAGTATATATATTCTTTTTTGATGTGGCTCTTAGGCAATCTAGAATTCTCCTCTCATGAGCTATCTTCGTCTTGCATTTTTCCTGTCCCCTTATCAGGTTTTTAAAAGCTATGAGCCTTGACTTAGCATCAGGAGTCACTCTTTATTCCCTGGATATCTTTGATCTGAAACAAATTCTTTCAGACTGCAAATAGAAAGTGCTGAATTGATCTCTAACTGAATTGTCTCCTTCATCTGGAAATCTACTGGTTTTAATTGTGAAGAGAACATTGAGTTCAGAAAAGACTCAGTTCTGCTTGCCTTACGGATGCAAGCTGTCCCGTTGACTTGAGTGAGACACTAGGATGACCAAATTTCGCAAAGGGAAAACGGGACACCGTGTGGGGCTAGCCCAAGGCTCCTCCCATGCCTCCCCACGCAGGGCTGGCCCAAGTCCCCCACTCCCTGTGGCGCTGGCCCCCTCATCAGGCTGGAGCTGGTGTCGCTGCAAGTTGCCCAAGCCTCTGCCTGCCCCCTGGCGCAAGGCTGGGGCTGGAATCACTGTTTGCTCAAGCCCTGCCTGCTCCCCACCACACCCCTGCCTCCCACCTTGTGCAGGGCAGGTATCGCCGCTTGCCCCCACCCCCTCCCACATTCCTCTGCACCCCACTTTGACAAAAGTGGGCATTTGTCCCGTTTGTTCTTGCCAACTTGATCAGTTAGCAAGAACAAACAGGACAAATGCCCACTTTTTCCAAAAAAGTAGGGACGGCTGGGACAGGGCTTAAAAAAGGGACTGTCCTGGCCAAAAAGGGGTGTAGTATGGTCATCCTAGTGAGACCACCCAAGGGCCAGATCTGGCAACCTTAAAGCATGTAAGAAAACTTTACTTTTAAAAGTAACTTTTAGTAACTTAATTGTTAGTTTCCACAAGGGTTGCAGGATCTTCCCGTGATTAAGGCAATCAAAATGTGGCCCCACATATTTATAGGCTGGAGAGAAAGTAGTAACATTCATCCATACACTATGAATACTGTATGAAGGAGACATTGCTTAGCAATGATGTAATTGAATTCTTGTGGCCGCAGCAAGTTGGGTAACATTACTATACAGGGAGAAGAGGTCAGAGTGGCAGTCCCAGAAATGGGAAAAGTGCCTTAAATAGCTGTTTAAAATAAATAAACTCTCTACATGAGGAATTAGCAAATCCCTTATTACTGAATAAGTAAAACAGAAATATTGAATGTGACCATAAAGAGTGAAAATCTCTGTTCAGAGTTATGTAGAAATAAATACAAACCCTAAGTTTTAAGAACCATTGAACTATGGGGAAACTCAGATTAGAGCCTAGATTTATATCTGAACTTTGTGGCTCAGATCCAGTTGGGGTTACATGAATCAACATGGCCTGAAAACAACCTTCCATCCTCTCAAACTTAATTCAGTCACTTTCACTAGGATTTAACTTTACTGTACTTTTATGGCAATAAGTGTCACACATGTCAAGTTAAAGAGGAAAAAAATTCTTCTGGGCCCTTGTTGGAGGGTTCGGTGTCTGAGCCTAGCAATATCTCCCAGTGGCAAGAGTCCTTGACAGTATCGCCCAGCGGCGAGAGTCTACAGCTGGTGGTAGGGGAACCCGGGCCCACCATGCTCTACCGAGGGCCCTGTGACAGGTCGGTCAGATACACAGCATGCCGCCAAGGTCACTGCCTACAACTTTCTTAGTCACCTCCAAAGTTGCAACAAGGGTTGGCTCATGACCTCATGGTAGGCGTTCTCACGGACAGTGATCTGGAGGCTCTTCTCCTTCACCCGTGGCCCTCTGTTCCTGGTCTCCATGGGGGCCTTTTGCAGCTGTGCAGCAGGGTCTAGTACAGGTGGTGTGGAGCACCAGCAGCCTGCTCCTGTGCTCTGTCCGCCCTGAGTGAGCTGGGCTGCTTCCTTGTGAGCGCCGCCTCCATTGTGAGCATGCCCAGTAGGTGCGGCTGGTGAGGCCTTCTTGGCTCAGAGCTGCTTGTTAACCTGTGGTTCTCCACTGTGGGACTTATACACCCCCTCACATACCCTTCCCCTAAGGCTAAGACCCAAGATTGGGTCCAGAAATTGGCATTTCTGTATATCTTTACTGGACAATGGAGTACCTGGAAGTTGTAGGGCTGCAGGGAAAGTTACCACTTCATGATCTGGGTATTGGTGTCCTTCATGGAGTTTAGCTAGTGGAAGGGAGTGTGGTCTGTGACGAGTAGGAAGGAGTTCCCTAGGAGACAATAGTGAAGTGCCTCTATGGTCCATTTCACAGCCAGGGCCTCTTTCTCAATCATTGAGTAGTTCACCTCCCAAGGGAACAGCTTTCTACTCATGTAAAGGACTGGATTTTCCTCGCTTTGGAGGACTACTTCCGATGCATCTGTTTGCAAAATGAATTGTTTCGTGAAGTCGGGGTGTAAAAGAACTGGCCCCTGGATTAGCTGGTTCTTTAAGGTTCTGAAGGCCCTGTCACAGGCTTCCGTCCACTGTACCTTCCTGGGACTGGTGCTTTTCACCAGGTCAGTGAGAAGGGCAACTACTGTGGCAAATTTAGGTACAAACCACCTGTAAGAGCCCACCAAGCCTAGGAAGTATCGCACCTACATTTTGGTTGATGACACTGGACAACCTGTCTGTTCTTGGACCTTGTCCACTGGGGGTGCATCTGAACCCATCCCACAGTGTATGCGAGTCACCTCTCTCTGTCCAAAGTGGCATTTGGCAGAATTTGCCTTCCTTTTCCCAGCTACTAGCGCTGGACCTGCTGGCTGCTTCCGGGGCATGTGCAACGCGGTGTCAGGACAGGCAGGAAGCCTGGCTTAGTCCCGCTGCACCACTGACCAGGAGCCACCTGAGGTAAGCCTGCTCCCAAGCCCCTGCCCCAGCCCTGAGCCCCCCCTGAAGTCCAGACCCCCCTCCTGCACCCCAATACCCCTCATCCCTGGCCACACCCCAGAGCCCACACCCCCAGCACAGAACCCTCACCCCCTCCTGTACCCCAATCCCCTGCCCCAGCCCAGAGCCCCCTCCCACACTCTGAACCTCTCATCTCTGGCCCCACCCCAGAGCCCTCACCCCCTCCTACACTCCAACCCCCTGCCTCAATCCGCAGCCCCCTCCCACACTCCGAATCCGTCGGCCGCAGCCTGAAGCCTCCTCCTGCACTCCAACCTGCTGCTCCAGCCCTGAGCCCCCCCAAACCCAGAGCCCCCTCCTGCACTCCAAACCTCTCATCCCTGCCCCCACCCCAGATACTGCACCGCCAGCCCAGAGCCTTCACACACTCCTGCACCCCAACCTTTTGGCACAGTCCTGAAGCCCTCAAACCCAGAGCCTCCTCCTGCACCCCAAACCCCTCAGTCCCAGCCCCACCCCAGAGACCACACCCCTAGCTGGAGCCCTCACGCCCTCCCAAACGCCTGCCCCAGCCCAGTGAAAGTGAGTGAGGGTGGGGGAGAGCGAGCCACCAAGGAAGGGGGAATGTAGTGAGTGGGGCAGAGCCTTGGGGTAGGGGAGCAGCTTCAGGGAGGGGCCAGGGCTAGGGTGTTTGGTTTTGTGCAATTAGAAAGTTGGCAATCCTAATTGTAAATGGTGGTCTTGAGAGCCTTGGTCTTCACTAGATCGCACAATACCCGCATCAGTTTGGATGAAAAGTTGGACCCCTGGTCTGCCAGTATTTCACTAGGGGGCAGTGGTGTGTATGTAATATGCACTAGCCAGCTTCTTACAATAAAGTGTGGTTGAAATTCAAAATCTCAACCAGAAGGGGAGGACGTTGCAAATCCCCCTTCCCCCTATTTTTGTTGATCAGCTGTAATTACAATACTGCTGACTCTACATAGTCCTAAAAGATCCTTCAGTTTTAATGAAAGCATGCTGTGCTATCCTGCCACCCTTAATTACAGTAATTATTGCTGTGTCAGCTAGGTGTTTTAAATAAGAATAAAACTCCAAACACCACCACAATAAAACTCAGATTAATTTACGCAAGACTCTTAAACTAAAAATAAAAAGGGATTAAATCTACTGAGTGTTGGATTCTTGTCATATGGGAGCAACAGGGGCATAGTTCCTTCCAGGCTGTTTTTCACCATATTTATTTCCTTTATACTATCAACTTAACAGCACAAAGTGACTCTGCATTGTTCGTTCATAAACAGGGTAAGTTAGGTAGTGTTGCTGACTCATGCTTATGAGCCATTTTCCTAGTCCCTCCCACCCAGGCTTCAACCCCACCTCCTTAAACTAGGAACTGGTTGCCTAGTATATTTAACAGCTGCCTTGGAGCTGGGAGCAATATACGGTCAAGATGCATGGGGTGTTCTGCTTCTCTAAAAATACAGGTACTGACACACAGACTTTCCTTCTCATCACCTTCATTTCCTGAGGTAAGAGGACTGTAGATGAATAAAGAAAGCTTTATTAGCCAGGCATGAGTAGCATATTGCTTTCTAGAATGGCACAAGGGAATGCTCTTAGAAAGAAGGTGTCAGCTTAATGAACCACATAACTGGATTGTTCCTCAGTTGTGTCTATGGAATGCTTTGCATTGGAATCACAAGAATAAGACTGACAAGGAGGGTCAGCAAACTTCTGTTGCTGAGAGACAAGCTTTTGAATTTACACAGAGAAGAAATGCAAGCAGAAAGATTCTGTTAAAACTTTAGAAGGATGCAGTAAAGTTTAAACTGCACTCAACTGTTGGAGTTTCAGTATTTTAAAAAAATGAATGACTGAAATCAAATGACATTACAAAAAGCTGCCTATCAAATTAACAGAGAAACAGAAAACAACTGATGGAAACTGCTGTGTTTGTGACAAGTTTGTGTGGCTCCTGTTACACCTGAATCTCACAGAAACACCTGCAAGCTGCTACATTATTTACAGCTGCACTGCCCTTCTTAAAATCTCTCCATGTGTTGTACTGGTCTAGTTTTATGGTTCTTACTTAAGTAAGACTCCTGTGGATGACTCTGGGAGCTTTGGTTGCATCAGGGCAGCAGAACTTGGCTCTCGCTACTAAAGTTGCTCCAGTGTATTGCTAACAGATCACTGCTCACGCACGCGCGCTCTCTCTCTCTTCTTTGGATTTTTAATTCATTTCAGTTGTATTTTCAGGGTGCACTAGAGGTCACACTGGTTTGCTTTACATGAGTGATACCTTTAAGTCCAATGGGAGTACATGTGTAAGGAGAGCAGGATTTGGCCCTAGATGGATAAGTTAGGCACTTCTCCTAGCCAGAACATTACCTAATCAGTGAGACACATTGGTGGTAATGAGGGAGATGGATTCTGGAGCACAGTAATAATAGAACAGAAAGCACTTCCAGATTGGGGCGGGAGGTGGGTTGCAGGGAGAGGAACATTTAAGGTGGAATCCTAAATTAGAAGCCAATACTATGAACGGAATCATTGAGCTGGCTGACTTTGAATACTGGGTGTTGTGTTTTACATAAAGGAAGGTGAAAAGGAAAACAACCTAGTTTCTTCTATTTGACCAGCTTCTTCCCCCATTGCACTTCCATAGCAAGTTCAGTATAAACCCTGGGAAAACTCCCACGCACCTTAGGCACTTGTGCAATGCTGCTGAAGGTGAGTAGGATTTGACCTGCTGTCTGGATTTCAATGGAGGGACTGAGTCCTCTCCATTCTGAGAGTGATCCAAAGATTTTATCTTTGGCTCTAATGGCATGAGAGAATTTTTCCCTCCTGTGTCTTCAGCAGTTTCTAGTCTATATTGAGCTAAATCCTGGTTTCCATTCATGCAAATGAATGGAACACATTTGCAAAGGTGTAAACTGGTGCAGAACCTGGCCCATTGGTGTTAGCTTTCTTATTATAAAACAGGTAATTACTATAAACTATACAGGTGACAGCTGTAAAGCAGGGAGGGAATACTTATTTAATCAATAGAGCTGTGCTAGGATAAGTATTAACTTATTTTCCATCACAGTTGTTTGCATATTACTCTACACAATAAGGAAATGGTATCCAGAGGTATTCGTCACCTAACTTTAGCTAGATGCACAGCAATGAAATTGGCATAAGGAGGTACACTTGGTTTTTATTTTCATCTGTTTTAGTGCTAGTTTTATCCAGTCTGGGTTTGGATCCAAGACATCCCCCCAGTGTAGCCAGTGGTGCTACTCTTGCCAATAACTCTGGGTATAATTCTCATGAATGTCTCCTTCCTTTTACATATCAAAAGCCATAGAAGGGGGAATCGACTTATCATGGGCAGTCCACAGCTCCTGGGCCTCTGCTGTAGGGGTGGATGACAGCAGAGCAGAACAGCTAGAGGCCAAGGCAACCTGCTACTGATGAAGGCAGAACTACACAGCTGGTTCTGGCCCATCTTGCCCCACCCATGTCCCCTAAAAGAAGCACTTATGCTGCTGCTGAGACTGCTGCTAGATATTATCTTACGCTGTGCTGCCAGTGGCTGGTTCATGGTCCATTGCCCATCTGCAGACAGCATGCGGCCATTTTATCAGCAGTGTTTCTGCAGAGTGTTGGAGAAATACACACGGCTGTCTTTTAGGGACTTTGTATCCCTCCTCTTCCCCCGCTTAATCTAAACAAATTCTAGTCTGAAGGTGCATGGTTAGCTCTGCTAGGAAACCTAACACGGACCTGTATGTTGTGTGGAACAGCCATGGAGTCAGAGCTCCTGCCACTCTTCAGGCGGGCACTACCCAGGTAAAGTGCATTATAATTTATGCTGCCTGAGAGACTATCCTGCTGTATAGAATGGCAGTTCCAACTCCCTGGTCTCACACAGCCACCCCAACTGCTTAGAGCTGAACTCCTGCAATTGCATCTGGGGAGGGGGGAGAGATGTGGCTGTATAGCAGGGAGTTTACCATGTGCCTGTTTCTGATTAGCTCTGGCACATGGCTGGAATGCCTTATCCTTCAGCAGCAGGTAAAGTAGTTGTGAGCGGGAGGGTTGTAACCTGTCTGCATATAGTTTAGTGCTTTTTGTCAAGGCTACAATATGAAACTCTGCCTAGAAGCTGCACAGATAGATGTGAAAAGGAGGGATCAAGAAAGGAAGCGATTTAAAGGCAGAGTGGGAGGGAAGATGCGTCCAGTTAGACAGAAAGTCTCCACAGTTAGATTCCAGGGAAAGTTATTGTTAATTTAGTTTAGAAATTCACCATGCCACAGTCTGTGTATTGGTGCTGCTCAGATCCTAGTATGCCCAGAGGCAACACCAGCTGTCCTGAAATAGTTAAAGTTACGACTGTGTTTTTCTATGACAGTGCTCTATTTATAGAGGACTTAGAACCTGGTTATAAAAACAGGCCCTGGGCTGATAAAAGTCTGAGACTTTACACTTATGTTCCATGATTACTATAGTTAGAACAAGTGATGAGCTGGAGCCGGTTCACGCAAACCGGTTATTAAATTTTGAAACTGGTTTAGAACCGGTTGTTAAAGGGGTTCAGCCAAACTCTGGCCTGCAGGCCACATGCAGCCCGCAGGACTGTCCTGTCCGTCCTGCCTGAGCTCTCGGCTGGGGAGGCTCCCCTGAGAATTTCTACTCGCCTGGCAGCCCTGCGGTCCTTCAGCTTCTGGCAGCTCAGCACTGGTTCGAACCCCTCGTGTGTTTTTTTTTTTTGCAAATGCGAAATAACACAAAATTAAATTTGAAAACCTAAGTATAAAAAGGAAAAACTCGCCTTGCAGCAGTGGCTACTGTGGTTCCTGTCCTGCAGGGGTGGGTCTGGCTTCCCACTCTGGCCACTGCAACCTGGTGGCAGAGCGAGCAAGCTGCCCCAAACATAAGTGCTGGAACTAGTGGGGCTAGGGGTGCTACTACACCCCCAATTTGAACTAGTAATAACTCACATACATGGTTTCCGCCTCCCTCCCCGGTAAAAATTGTTCCAACGCCACCTGTCCCGTGAGGCTGGGCCCAGCTCCCTGCTTTGGGCATTGTGACTGGGCACATGGGATTGAAGCATTGCTCAGGTTTGGCCTGGTTGCCCCTCCGTCATGACGAGGCTGGGTCAAACCTGTGCAACACTGGGACCCCGTGTGGCAGGAAGCTGGGCCCAGCCATATGGGATGGGAGCAGCAGGAGCCATCTCTGTGGGGTGAATGCATGGCAGGCTCACTCTGCAATCTCCCCCCCCCAGGGGCTCCCACCTCTCCAGGGGCGGGACTCAACACTCCCTCCACCCCCAGCAAATACAAAATAAAAAGAAATCCCCCCTCCCCATTATAAAAAAAATACAGAAGAATTTCACAGGCTCAAACTAGCTGAGCCTTTCCACAGGATCATCTGGTTCACCGTTTAAATGCTTCATGCTTAACACTCACACACATTTAGTAGGCCGTGATCAAATGTTACTTAATGTCACAATAAATCATTTCATTTCTTTCACCCATAAATTAATAACAGTTAAAGGCCAATAGATATCATTAGAGTTTTGATGCAGAAATATAGATCTCTATGTGCTAATTCCTAATGACCAGGTAAGCATGGACTCTTTGGCATCACTCATTTCCAGGTGGTGGAATGCTGTCAAAAGAAACGGTACAAAGCAAAAAGTAGCCAGGACTTGATTCCAGAAGATCCATGATGCTTTTGTTTGTTCAGATGGGAGATGTTACTGGCTAAAACTGCATGTTTGTCTATTTTTTTCCCTTGCATGAAAACACTGGCTATTTTGTGAACACCACCCACCAGTGTAACCTTCTTCAAAAAGTTAGTGAAATGCCTACTTTTTGACTTTACCAGTGCCAAAGCTGTCTTGCTTCTTGCCATTGGTCTATCTACCTATTGCATTTAATAACTGGTTTTTGATGCCCAGAAGTAAGATATTAACTTCCCTTCATCTTTCATGCAACATGGCTGAAATTCACTTTTGTGCAGATCTTTACCAGAAAGACTATACACAATGTACATAGGCCTTGCACTTTCTCTCTGCTCAGGGGTGAATTTTACCCTTTTGGAATAGTTACCATCTTCTGTTCCACAGCTGGCTACATTTCAGAGGCAAGTTACTCCAACACACAGAATATGTGAGAATTAGCAACATGAATTGAGATCCTGCCAGAGGAAAGGCAGTAGGTAAAAGACTAATTGCAGTTCATTTATGGCAAAGGGATATATTGTACAGTACAGGAGTATCAGCGTCTCAAAGACTATATTCAGAAAACCTGATTACTAGATTTTTTTTTTTTGAACTTCAAGGTAAAATTTGTGTGGCTTCTCATGCAATCTGCTGGCAATTTAGTAGATTCTTGCATTAAGTAGTGAAGTACACTTCAGTTTAACTGAACGGCTGCACAGTTGGATGACATTTGTGGTGAGAGGATTATGTCAAACATTATGACCTGCCAAGCTTGTTTGGGAATGTATAGCACACTTACCAAAGATCTTTCTACACTCAATGAAAAGACGAGAATGCCCTGCTGAGCCAAGTCATTCCATTCAACAGATTCTGATAGGTTTTCAAAATTATGACCGTGTTAATTTAATTTCATTTTCTGGAGGCTAGCTGAAGATTTCTATTGAGAATGTTTGTTTGTCTAGACTTAGTAACAACAGAGAATTCGTAACCCTTTCTGGACTCAGTGGATTAGCAGCACTGAAAGTACAGATGAATAATACAAATTCATTCAAACAACTTTGGAATTATTTATTTACGGTGGGAAAGTCACTGCAGCCTCAAGATAGCAGTGAGTTAGGTGTGGCTAGCTTGCACTTAGCGTACATGCCTGGTCACTGTGCTGCTGAATTAAAATTGACAAGGGACAGGACAGGTAAGGGTTTACCAACCCGTCTCACTCCTATTCTCCTACTCAGTTGCTAGGAGATTGGATGATAGGTTTGTTATTTGTCACTGGATGGCTTAACAAGCTCTGATTCAGAACTCTACATATACATGGGATCTCAGTGTTGTTAAGGACCTATGTCAGATTAACAGATGGACATAAATAGTTTGTCACTCCATGAATGTGACAGTAACACCTCTCATTGCAAGAGAACAAGGATATTGCTTTTAAAAAAACTTGTTAACAACTGCACCCAGTGGTTTAGTGCTTTAGCAGTTCAAATTACTCAAACCTTTAGCAACGTGATGGGGCATTTTTTTTGAAAATGATGCCAACAGCTTTCAAGTCTTCAAGCAGAAGTTTAGACTCAGATGCAAACTCCAACGCTCCATGAATGTGCAAATTTCTCTAAAAAGACAAATGTCACAAGAACCTCCTTGAAGAAATATGTTGGGTTAGCACAAACAGCTTGGAAAATTACCAAATGGCCCTTAAAGTCACTGTAACAAGAACTTAGCCCATGATATGTAGTCTTCATAGGAGAAGGGAAAATCTTCCCATGACCCATCTGCAATGTTCCCTGTTGTTTGAGTCCTTGGCCTGTCTTGAGTAGAGGCTGGCAGTTGTGTCATGTGGACCAAAAATGTCCATGAAGGACTAAAATAAGGACATCTTTTTTTTGTTTAAGGTCAAATCCTAATTATGCCATAGGTTTCCAATACAAAATTTACACCTATACTGTATGGGAGCTGAAATTGAACTCCATTGTATGTAAAATGAGTGATAATATTTTAGATCAGCTGCTACCGAGGGCTATGAAGAGGAGAGAGTATTTGTTGTTTTTTTTTTTTTTAATAAAAAAAAAGAGTTAATGGTTGTGCTTTTTTGTCATTACAGGTAGATTTTTCTGGTCCTGAATCCTTTCAGATGTGAAGATGTATCCAGTGTTGAACAAAGTCCCAAACAAAAGTTATTCCAAACCACTTCCCATTGTTGTTATAGGTAAGTAATATTTTGGCAATGTAATCCGTGTTCTCCAGTGCGGTAGTCTTACTAAGACCTATTATATCTGACATCCTCATGCATTGTTCCAAAAGCTGTAATTAAATCTAGAAATGTTCTGGGAATGATATCCCCTCAGTTTTTGCTACAGTCAAGAAAGGATAATTTGGCTTAAGAAAATAAGAATATCAATGATCATTTATTACTGTTTTAAAACAGAATTGTCTGACCTTTAGGACATTCGGTTGAGCCTGTTTGTTTGTCTCATGGGTGTTTTGGAGCGGTTTGAAATTATTGTATTGTGACTTTCACCTGGCAAGGAGTCAACTAGTGTTTAATTTTGTGAAGTTTAGTGTTTGAGTGTATGTGTTTAGGGCAGGAGTGAGCAAACTTTTTGGCCTGAGGGCCGCATCGAGTTTCTGAAATTGTATGGAGGGCCGGTTAGGGGAGGCTGTGCCTCCCCAAACAGCCAGGCATTGCCCAGCCCCCACCCCCTATTCGACCCCTCCGCCCTGCTTCTTGTCCCCTGACCGCCCCCAGAGCCCCTACCCTATCCAACCTCCCCTCTCCTTCCTGACTGTCCCCTGTGACCCCTGCCCCATCCAACCACCCCTTCTCCCTGATCGCCCCTGGACCCACCGCCCCTAACTGCCCACTGCTGCCCCATCCAACCCCCCTCTCCTTTCAACCCCTTTGTTCCCCACCCTCTGACTGCCCTGACCCCTATCCACACCCCTAGCCCCTGAGCACACCCCCCCCCCCAAACTCCCCTGCCCTCCCTCCCCCCTTACCGCGCTGCCTGGAGCCCTGGGTCAGGCCAGGCTCTGTAGCTGCACTGCCCCGCCCCAGGAGCTCAGAGCCCCACTGCCCAGAGCCTGGCGCTGTGAGCCGAGGCTGAGGGGAAGGGGGAACGGGGGGGAGGGGCTGGGGGCGAGCCTCCCAGGCCAGGAGCTCCGGCTGGGCAGGACGGTCCTGCAAGCCGGATGTGGCCCGCGGGTCGTAGTTTGCCCACCTCTGGTTTAGGGTCTGATCCAAAGCTACTGAAGTCTCTGAGACTCTTTACATGGAGATCGATGGGGTTTGGTTCAGGTTTACACAGTGAAAAATATGTGTAGTAGTTTAATTTTTAAAACAGCTGTTTGTAGGAATGCAAAAGTTATGCTTCTCTTCACAGTTTTAGAAAGCCAGTTAGTTTGATGTTTGGTGAGTGAATCAGGAACAGGAACTTCTTGTTTGCAAATGCCCTCTTGAGGTTAGTTAGACACGCTCACTCTTCATATCAGATGTGTCACTGACGTGATCAGCTATGACCAAGCAGAGGCTTCTCTGGCATAAAGGAGTCCTTCCCTTTTCACTCAAGCTTGTGCTTAGGTGCCTTCCTAAATTAAGACATGAGCCCCATTGACTTTCCTGGGAGTCAATGTGCTTCAATGCTTTGCTAGTGCTGGGCTTGTTACATGCCCACCATCTAAACCAGGGCGAAATTCTCCCCAGTGGAGTGAGCCCGTACAAGGTTTATGCACCACAAAAGTTCCACTTAATCCTTTGTATAGTAGTTTTGTGAGGTGGACACTTGTCCCAGGGGGCTGAATCCTGAGAGGCATTCTTAGACAGACAATTGAGAAGCTTGTTTTTCTTGGGATGGGATTGGTAAATTCTTGGTACTACCTTTTTAAAAGGGTCCAATTCCAAAACAAGTTTAACTTAAAGACCACTCTGAGTGTTACCAGTGCAGAGATTTCGCCCCCTGCACGGGAGAAGGGAGGCTCTGGTTTTCTGAGCAGCTCCAGGAACATTGCCAGCTGGAGATCCCTGGAGAGTACTCCAGGGGTTGTCTATACTGGCTCTGTGACAGCTGAGAGCTCCCTCGTGCCAGGGCAGTCAGTTGATCAGATCCAACTGCTGTCTGGTTCCTTGTGCCATTGAAGTGGCATGAAGGGACACAAAGGCAGGAGTGTATCTGGCCTACTTTATGGGACTTAAAGATTCATATTTATAACTGCAGCTTTGTCCATAACTCCGCCTCATGTAACCAGATGTTTAAATACTGGACAGGAACTCTGATGTAACCCCAACAACAAAAGAGCAAGTTAAGGATGACTTATATCCTGGTTCTGTTTCAAGTTAATTATTGGGGTTTTATTTCCATCATTATTTACACTTGGCTTTTTCTCTAATCTAAGTGAGAACAGTGTTAGGAATAGAATTGAGAAGTGGCCTTTGCTCCCTGCAGTTCATTGCTCCCAGAGCAGGGATTATGTCCACAATGCTATGAAAGTGCACACAGAATGTTACAGGCTGCTGAGTCACCCTGACTGGTTTTCTGACACTGCATTATGTAATGGTGGTTAGTCATATACTAAAGAGCAACAAAGCTTTGAGCTGTAGAGGCTGACAGCTAGTTATATAGACACTGTAAAATATTAAACATATTGGAAAACAGCCACGTGAAAACTTTCCACACACTACTCCACTGTACACTGACATAGAGTATGTATATTCGCTTCTGAAGCCAGTTGTTGGGTGGTCAGTAGGAAAATTTTAGCCATCCAGCTATTTGTTCAAAGTGTCATATTTTGAGGGGTGGTGGTGGTGGGGGAGGGAGAGCTCTTTGCCCAACCTCCAGCTCACTGCCTCCTTCCAGTGAATAGAAGGAGAGAGAACAAAGACAGGAGAGAACTAAACCTATAGGGCTGATTGGAGACCTACTGTAATCAATAGCAACTCCATTAGCTTCAGTTAAATCAATCAGTCAACAGGTTAGAGAGCGTCCAAATTTAAGGTGAGAAATTTGGCCAGTTTCAGAACAGGGTCTTCTGCAGAATCAGTGACCAGTATCCCAGTGACTAGAGAATTGGCATATGAGACATTGTGTGCCCACCCCCTGCTCTACATATCTTCTGTCACATAGTGGTAACTGGGAAGAGTCCAGGTCTGAATTCCTTGGCCCTATGAGGTAATACCTTGAAGTGAGCAATAAAGATCCTACATCTCTTCCTAATAACCTACTTGCTTCAAAATGACTGTAGACAGTGGCGTTGAGTAGTAGGCACCAAGGACTTGATCCTGCTGTCTGATGTACAGCAGCACCACCTCAGATCTCAGATATTCGCTATCCCACGTGAATGCACATCATAGCAGTGTCTGATTTTTCCTTCAAGATTATGAAGTGATGCAAGTTGCATTTAGGCAGGAAAGAATGAAGCCTTAACTCTTCTGGGGTTTGAGCCCCCCCTTCCATCCATATACAAATCATTCTGACTCAGGTCAGCAAGCACTCAAGACGTGGGAATTAGGACCCTGCTAGGGGGTGGGTCAGAGCCGGATTCCAGCTGTGGCTTGGGTCCTGTCGTTTTACAGTGTGGACTAGGGTCAAGCTGTAGACCTGAGTCAGAAGCACAGCTGCGATCTGGGTGCAGCAATTGTAAACCCAGGTTTACAATGCAGTGTGAGTGCTCAAACACAGGCTTGGAAACAGAGTCCACAAGTGTGGGTCCCACAGCTCTGGGTGTAGTGTGCAGTGTGTGGATGTACCCTCAAAGTCCAAGAGCAGGTTTAATTCCTGAACATCATCCTTTGAAAAATGCAGCTCTCTTCCGAGCCTGCTACTTTGCCAGTGTTTGACAAAACCCCAGCTTATTAGTGTCAGTAGCACTAAGAGGTCCCAACTGGGATCAGGGTTCCAGGGTGCTAGGCTTTGTACGTAGACCTTGTAAGAAACAGCCCCTGCCCTGAACAGCTTATAATACAAATAGATATGACAGACAAAAAGGGAAACAGAGAAGTGAAGTGATTTCTCCAAGGCCATGCAGCAGAACCATGGTTGACTTGAGACTAGAACCCAGTTCTCCTGAGTCGAAATCTATCCACTGGACCATACTGCATATCTGGTAAGATGCTTTAAAAGGACTATTGTTCCAACCACAGTGATGCAATATTAATTTAATTGTGTTTGTTCAGGGAATGGTCCTTCAGGAATTTGCCTTTCCTACCTGCTGTCTGGTTATATCCCTTACATCAAAAGGGGCTCTGTTCATCCTCATCCTATCCTACAGAGGAAACTAGAGGAAACACCAGAAGTCTCCATTATAGACCAGGTTTGTATCAAATGAATTTGCCTTTTACCAGGAAGAAGTAGATGGAACACATCACCACCATCATATGCCCAGAGCATGCTGGCAACAGAAGCCTTAAGCATGGGTTAATTTGTTTCCCAAATCATGATGGTATATAGGGCCAGCACAAGGGCTGTGCGCTGCTCAAATCATCCAGACCGGGCTTATGTGCCATATCGGACTTATTCTGACTAAGAGACGTTCAGCTCTACTGAGCACCTAATGATATTACATTACTGCTGCATTTTGAGGTGATATCATGTGTTCTATGATGCAGGCTCTAAGTATCTGCCTTGTCTTTTAGGATCTGGAGTACCTGTCTGAAGGTTTGGAGGGACGATCCCAGAGCCCCGTGGCTCTTCTTTTTGACACTCTGCTGCGTCCCGATACAGACTTTGGTGGAACTGCAGAATCTGTCCTCACTTGGTGGCACAAGACCAACAGAGCCATTCCCCATCTGGTCCTTGGCAGAAACCCTCCTGGGGGTGCCTGGCATGTATGTAGACATGAATGCTTAACTTTATGAAATATGTATTACACAATAGTCAGTATCATGATTAAAGATGTAAAGGGCTGAACAAGCTAATCAGCCAGACAACCAGGATCCAGCAGGGCTCTGCTTTTACACCCACCAAAAAGTGAGCTGGTTTGAATGTGCAGGAGAGATTTGCCCTCCCAGCCTACTACTGCCGTTTGTTCCATCCAAACATCTGGATCAGCCGAGGTCCCTTGGTGACACTAAAGCTTGATTTACTGGAACTTAACAGAACAGTGTTCTTGTTCCATTAGTGCTTATTCCCTTTCATTTTCAGTTGCTTAACTCATTCGGTGTTTGTTCTTGCAGTTTATTGAGGGATCTACGATCACTTTGAGCCAAGGGGAATGGATGGGACTTCCAGACCTTCAGCTCAAAGACTGGATGAGGAAAAAGAGGAGGTGAGGAGACTGATGTGACATTGCCCAAATAGCCAAAGGATTTTTGGGCAAATAAGTAATTTGGTATGAAGTCCAGCTGGCTACCTATTATGGCCAGTTTCAGTGAGTCGAAGAAATCCCCAAGAAAAATCTATTTGGTACTCAGTGCTGGTGGTATAAATTCAGAGTAACTCCATGGACCGCAGAGCAGTTAGTTCTGAATGTACACTGGGGTAACAGATCAGCATGTGGCCAGCAGTTACATTTAAAAATCTGAATTAATAGGTGTGGAAACCATAATTTTGGGATAGTGTAGCCCATTTATATATTGTCCCACATTTACAAGTATTCTAATCAGACAGATGTACAGTGGGACAGAAAGTACAGTGTAATCATTCAGATGTTAGATTTCAAATACTTAGGCTACTTTTGCTATTGTTAGAATGTACATGCTATAAACCTAGGTCTGGAAAAGCTCACGAGAAAAAAATAAATTGGAAGTGATAGGGAGGGTAGTAAAGGAGTAAATATGTTGCTAAAGTTTTTGTGGGGTTTTCATATCCAACCGTATTGCCTCTTCCAATTATTTCTGATAGTGAGCCCAACTGTTCAGACTTGTGTATTAGGAGTAATTCCACTGAAATCAATTGGATTGCTCTGGGGTAAAACTAGCAAGGAAGAGAATGCAGGCCCAGTTTCTCCATTAGTGCCAGGATAGATAGCCCTTCAGTACATGCAACTGAGGAGGGAGAAGCCTCTGAATTTCACTGTTCAACCATCATTTATAATATCCTGTTACAGGGGCCTCAGGAATAACAGAGCCACAGCAGAAGACATTGCTCAGTATTACCAACATTATGTGGCAAAGAAAGGGCTGCAGAAGAACTTTATCTGTGGGAGTGTTGTGACATCTGTGAGGAAAGTGAGCCCAGATGTAAGCTCCAGCTATGCACAGCAGGATTCTGAGGGGAACAGTGACTCCTTCTGGGATTTCCCCGAGAAAGAGAAGGAAGATGACCCGATTGCTAGTGGAAATCTTTTCCAGGTGGATGGATTCATCAAAAACATTAATGGTGGTCAGCAACCCTTCTCCATCTATGCAGAGAATGTGGTTTTAGCCACTGGAACATATGACAGTCCAACCAACCTTGGAGTTAATGGAGAGAACCTTCCTTTTGTCCATCACAAACTCTCTGCCCTTGAAGAAGCAGTGAAGAACAAGAAGGTTAGCATGACATCAGATCCAGTCTTGATTGTAGGTGCCGGGCTGACAGCTGCTGATGCAATTCTCTTTGCTCACCATTGCAACATCCCAGTGATCCACGCCTTTCGCAGAAGGGTCAACGATCCAGGTCTCATCTTCAATCAGCTCCCCAAAATGATGTATCCAGAGTACCACAAAGTCCACCAGATGATGAAAGAACAGTCAGTTGCTTGTCCCGGGCCATATGAATGTTATATCAGCCTTCCTGAACATCATGTCCTGTCCTTCAGAGAGGACAAGAAGTGTGTCTTCCAGGATAAGAGCGGTCACCAGAAAATCTTTAACATTTCTATGGCTTTTGTTCTCATTGGCTCAAACCCCAACCTCTCCTTCCTACCAAATAATGGCATTGACTTGGCAATTGACAGTGAGCAGCCAGTCAACTCCAAGAGGAACCCCATCGACGTTGACCCATTCACCTACCAATGTGTTCAGGAGAAAGGGCTTTATGCTGTGGGGCCATTAGCTGGGGACAACTTTGTGCGTTTTGTGCAGGGAGGGGCTCTGGCTGTTGCCAGCTCTCTGTTAAAAAAAGCAAACAAAAATCCTCCTTAACAAACAAATTGCCCTAAGCCAAAAGCGTTCAAACGGGTGATTCCTACTCTCTTTGAGAAGTAAGGCATTTGATATGTGCACTTTCCCCTGCAGTACTCTCCAGGGCAGTTCAGAGTGACCAAACTCTCAGTGGGTTCATTTGGGAATGATAAATCAGCAAGTACATGGTTTGGGATTTAGATCTCAATGTTGCCAACATTTGTGCCTTGCTGAAAGGTTGAATTCAGGTGCAACCAAGGGAATAGCCCCATCTCTGCAGAGCTTTGCACTAAGGGAATGGGGAACTTGCATCCTAGCTTCGAATAGCTGGGGGCAAAGCCGCAATCACTTCACCATATAAATGTCTTGCAGGCTGCAGCTGGTTGAAAAGAGTTCTCATCCTTTCTTGGTGGCCATTTTCTTGGTGGCCATATTGGCAAGTCCTGTGTTTAGTTAATCTTTTTCAAATGTTACTGGGTAAATACAGGCAATACTACACAACACACAGTTGTTGCTGTTTCATGCGCTTATGTGGCACACTCTACGCTGTTCTTGCGATGCAAAAGTCCATTGAAAGCTGTGCTGCAAGTGTTCTGTGCACCTAAACCAGAATTCTGCCATTAGAAATGGTCACAAAAGCGTTGCCTAAAGGGCTGCTGTAGCAGTCCTCTTCTCCTGCAAGGAGCACCAGCACCATGTTCTGTGTGTCCTATCTTTGGATGCAGCACACTTGTGTATCTGTCTTTTTTGGAAGACTCCTTTTCAAATAATGGTACAAACGTACTCCTGTTGAGTGCACAATCTTTAAAGAGCTAGAAGGCAGAATGATAGAGTGTAACAGTGCTGCATTCTTAGAGACCTCTTTAGGGACACCAAAACCAAAGTATAAAGAGGAATTATCCTTGGTTGGTGGGAACTGATTAATACTCCAAATTCATCCTGCTCAGTGGAATTGAATGTTTGTTTTTTCTTTGGGAAGCTTTACATTACATATTGCAGTATGGATTCCCAATATAGGATTACTTCAGGAAACGGGTTCTGTAAATCAGAAATGGCATTCCACAAATTGTTCTTGAAAGAGAAGAATTGCACAATTGCTTTTAGTTGTTAAATTGCTTTAGTCTATTTACTTCATTATGAAAAATTCAAATATAGAAGAGATCCTAGATTAATACTGGAAGAAAATATTCACTATAGATTTCTGGATAACTGTGTAACAAGATCTACCTGCATTTGAACAATGGCCCTGATCCTGCAAGGCCCCTGTATATGAACTTCAATGGGAGTTCCACATGCAGAGAGACTACTGTGTTCTCCATATAAGGCCTGACTCTGCTCCGCTTAGTGGGGCAAAACTGCCGTTGACACAGCAAGATGTGCAGAATGAGGCCCAAAGAGGCCACTTTACTGTGTGTGGAAGTTGATGTGCGCAATCCTTTCACATAGCTGCTGACCTGGAATAGTCAGCCACTTCACTAAGTGCATACAATGCCAGCAAGTCTTTCAGAAAAGTTCCGCACACAGAGAAAGTGTTAGTTTGTAACTGCCTGGTCCCAGAAGTTTTTAAGCAAGGCAGGTGTAAGGAACACATCTGGCCTTTGTGTTGCTGCTGTGTCTTAGCAATGTTGTACAGCACTCTGGAAACTAACTAACTGTTTTTGTATTTTCTAAGTTAGCTGTATGTATTTTATATGTGGAACAAGTTTAAATAAAATTTCAAACTTATTCCAGGTGAATTCATTTATTTGAGCTGTAGCTGAATCAGTGACCAAGGTGGCATGACCTATAAGTCAGGAGTTATGCGAACCATTCATCACAAGGATTACTGGTAGGGTCCAGGAAATTACTAAAGAGGATTTACAAACTACAAATAATTAAAAGGGAAGCACTGCTCTTGGTGATTTGACTTTGAGTCTCCCTTGGTCAGATGAGATGAAAAGCAACAAATGGAGAAGGTATTGATTTTCATAAGGTTATAAAGAACCCTGAAAAGAAGGCAAGCCAGATCTTACCCCTGTGTCAGCCCAGTAAGCCAGCTGTGAACAAAGGAGTTTTGCAGGAGTCTAGCAGACACGGAATCCCTCGCCCGCTTAAAGCTTGACTAGCTGCTTAGTGACCATTACTAGTCCCATCTTGGGTTTACCAGTGCATGTATTGATTCACTGGTCCCGTCACACTCTACCCAGTTTGCCCTACGGCAGACCTCTGTGGCTGGGGTTCCCACACCTTGCTCCCAACCACACATGGATGACCTGCACTTTTGCTGCTACTTTCAGGGCCTTCTACAAATCAATTTCCACAAATAGATAGTGGTGGGGGGTGTGGGTGTCTCATTCTCCACTTCAATGAAGTCTGTGGAAATGGACAGGGGAGCTGAGAGCCATGGAACCAAACTATAAACCCTGTATATGATAACCATTTCAAGCTAGGGGGTGCGACAGCACCCCTAATTCCAGCACATATGGAAATAGGATGCACAGAAACTCAGAGTATCAAGGATTAACATTGTACACCTATCTTCCACAAAGGTATAGTACAAGTAAACAACACTGTATCCTGTCAGGGTTCCTTCCCCACTCTGAACTCTAGGGTACAGATGTGGGGACCCACATGAAAGACCCCCTAAACTTATTCTTACCAGCTTAGGTTAAAAACTTCCCCAAGGTACAAACTTTGCCTTGTCCTTGAACAGTATGCTGCCACCACCAAGCGTTTTAAACAAAGAACAGGGGAAGAGCCCACTTGGAGATGTCTTCCCCCAAAATATCCTCCCCAAGTCCTACACACCCCCTTTCCTGGGGAGGCTTGAGAACAATATCCTAACCAATTGGTTACAAAAGCATCAAAGACCCAAACCCCTGGATCTTGGAACAATGGAAAAATCAATCAGGTTCTTAAAAGAAGGATTTTATTAAAAAAGAAAAGTAAAAATCATCTCTGTAAAATCAGGATGGAAAATACTTTACAGGATATTCAGATTCAAAACACAGAGGATCCTCCTCTGGGCAAAACCTTAAAGTTACAGAAAACAGGAATAAACCTCCCTCTTAACACAGGGAAAATTCACATAAAACAAAAGATAAACTAATCCGCCTTGCCTGGCTTACCTAATACTGGTTGCAATATTGGAGACTTGGATTAGGATGGGTTGGAGAAGATGGATTTCTGTCTGGCTTCTCTCAGTCCTAAGAGAGAACAAAGACCACAAACAAAAGCCTCTTTTCTCTCTCCTCTCCCCCACCTCCAAGATTTGAAAGTATCTCGTCCCCTTATTGGTTCTTTGGGTCAGGTGCCAGCCAAGTTAGCGGAGCTTCTTAACCCTATACAGGTAACAGGATGTTGCCGCTGGCCAGGAGGGACTTTCTAGCACTGTATACAGACAGGGGGTTACCCTTCCCTTTATATTTATGACCTATCCCAATTAATGTGTATGGGGCAGAAGGCTCAAGGGTCCTGATGTACCACAGGGCCCAACCCCCACTGGTCCCCAGGGATTTGTGGGGGCCCAAGGCCATCTGTGTATTGGTGTCTCTGCATTTGCCCCTGGAGACCCTGACAGCATAGCTCTGATGAGATTGCACTGGTACAGCATATTCCCCACCCCCTACTATGGTTTCTTCTGGCATCCTCCTTAATAGCTATTCTTACCGTGCAGGGTATTCTATGAGGCAGGTAATAGAGCCGTAGTCTATGCTTCCTTTTCTGGGCAGTTTCTGTGGGTCATGGCCAAGGAAGTGATAAGTATCTCTTCTGCCCAAGCCACTGCTCCCCAAGTCCCTTGCTCTTCACCCTGCACAGATCAGTAGAGAGGCCTGGGCAGTGTCTAGATGAAAGAGGCCAGAGCCTCAGAGCCCTGCTCTGCTGGGAGGAAGGTCCATGCACATTCCCTCGCTGGCTTCTGGAGCCTTTGAATAATTTGACTGTCCTGTCATTGGTTCCTGGCTTCACTTGAATTTCATTGTCTGCACAGAGGTCACAGTGCTGTAAGTTTTCAGTTTTACGCTGTATTTGTGGTCCAGTTGAAAAGATCAATACACTTGGCAGAATGCACCTTTCTTAAAATAGATGTTCTGGCCAAGCCTAGCATTCCTGCATCAGCAGCAAATGGAGCAGAGTCCAAGAAGCAATGGGTCATCTAAAAACATTGGACTGCATGGGCAAGGAGGCTGGGAATAACGGGTATTTATAGGAGTGACACTAGCTGAAACACTGCAGCTATGCATGTCATTAAATCCAAGCTCATGGAGTAGAGCTCATACAGTACATTCCAGCCGCAGAGGCCATGTCACTAGGATCTAGTCTAGTATCTATATGTCAGCTTCTCAGGATCAGGGTAAAAACCACCCCTTTCCAGTTGAGGGGGCTTATTTAAAAAGTATTAGCTGGCTTGCTTTTCCCAGTGGGAATCAATGTATTGCATGCTGTGGAGGATGAGAAAGGGAAGGAGGTTTAGCAACAGGTACTTAGGAAATATCCTGTGTCCCATCCTGCTACAATACTGAGGAAATAGTCCCCTCTACAAGACAATTTACTGCTCAGTGAGTAACAAATCCCCAAGGGCAGGAGTATGTCGTGTAAATCAAAGCCAATTATCTCCCACTTCTTTCTCTGCAACACAGAAGACCATTGTAAAATACGCTTTTACATTAGTCACTGGAGTCAATGGACATGCACCACTGCTGGGTGAGGGTGTTGTTAACCTTTTGTAACTCTGACTGATATCATGTGACAGGGGCCAGGAAACAAAGCTTAGTTTCTTAGCAGTAGAGAAACTTTATTTCATCAAAGTTTGATGATTTGGCAAAATCAGAATGTTTTGCAGACAGTCCAAGGGACCCAGGCTTGGTTTCTTGCCAGCTTGCCTGCCCAGCTCCACGGCAGTCAACCTGCTAACCCAGGGAGCCAGGGCTTCCAGAGTTCACGACTGCGTGGTTCCATTCCCTGCTGGAGAATTTGGAAGTTTGTAGGGTTTGCTCCTAAAACAAAATGTCGAAGTATCCCCCATCACAAAACCTCTCTAGTACGTACTGTACAGAAGCCTCCAGTCCAAAATTAAACTACACGAGGGGTTCTCCAGCTATCTTATTCTGAAGACCATTTTGCAAGAGAAATTTTTAAGTGTCCATTTCCCTTCCAACACTCAAAACTTGGGTCTCACCCTTCATTATGCTCTGCAATACCAGGGGCTCCTACAGGCCAGTCCGAGAACTACCAAACTGCAGTGCAGTGGCATTCAGTAAGTTTCTAACATTTATTATCTTGATTTAAATAAAGAGATGTTTATCCAAAGCTCCTGGTGCCCTAATGCATTGATACAATAAAATCCCAGGTTTCAGAGTAGCAGCCATGTTAGTCTGTATTCGCAAAAAGAAAAGGAGTACTTGTGGCACCTTAGAGACTAACCAATTTATTTGAGCATAAGCTTTCATGAGCTACAGCTCACTTCATCGGATGCAAGAAATCCCAGCAACCTTAAAATGATCCTTTTAACAGGAACTCAGAGTCAGCCCTCTCCAAAAACTCTGACTCATGCAGTGTGCCTGGAACTGCATCTCATGCTGGTTATTTTGGACCAAGATCTCCTTATCCTTATACTCTAGATCTCTTTAGAGCCAGAGAGGCCGTTTCTATTACCCTAACGAAGTAAGATACAAAAAAGGGCAAAACCTCTCTTACTTTTCCCTTACTCTTAGGCCTAAAAGGTTTTTCTACACGTTTTTAGCTTAAAAGTGTCAGGAATGCCACATCTGGTCCTTACTTTGGTGGAGGACCTACTGGGAGTTGCAGCATATTTATTGTGAGTGTTCGCTCCTTGACTGAAGAGAAGAGTGTCATCTTTAACAAAAGACTTCCTCTTTTTAAAGTTTTCCTTGGCTTTCTGAGTTTAAATAGGTGTCCGAAAAACAGTTTTGAAACTGGCTGACTAAGAATACCTCCTCCTGCTCAATGGCTTAAATTTCACTCTCTTGATTCTTGTCCCACCTACCCTCAGATACGTTATGGTGTCTGCAGAACTAATAAAATCATGGCGACCAGTATTTCTATAGTCTTTAAAAGCAGGCACCCTCTCCTATTTAAAGTGGCTCTAGAATATCAACCTGCTTGTTACTGGAGGAAATATTACTTACTTGGACTCAACCACTGAATCAGTTTTATACGTCATTTTTCAACTGGGGCCAGATATGATGGGAGACTTCCATTTAAGCTATATGGCCATCAGTGCAGAAGGGGGATCATAGCATAGCACAGCTGAAGGGCATGCTAATATACTGATGTAAGTGACCCCCAACTGGATTATATAAAAGGCTCTCAAAAGGGAAGATTAGCAGGAGCACACGATGAGAGTGGACCACTTACCATAATACAAGAAATAAGAGCTTTCTAGGAGTTAAGCTGCCTCCTTTGTTTGTTCTGAACCCACCTCTGCATGGTCCCATTCATTTCAGGGAATTGTTCTGATTTACAGACACTGATTTACTAACGGGTGGTAAATGATTCATAAAATTAAATGGCCTCACCAGCACAGTGCACATGCAAAGGGAGCATGGACAATGCTCTGCAATCAACAGCAGCTGGTCAGCCATGCAGTTACACATCACCACAAGATAAAGGTATGAGTTATTTACCCAGGTATTTACATCACCACAAGATGAAGGTATTAGTTATTTAAAATGTTTACCCAGGTAGAAATGTCCATCTGGAAATGCGTTGTCAATAAAAAATAA